TGTGATGTTAGAAGTCTTCAAACCTGCTTATAAAATATTCACGTTGGGACTAAAAAGAGTGGGCTATTTTAATGATGAGATCCATAGCTTGAAGAAAGGAAAATAAATTAATATCCAAGAATGCAAACAATTTCAAATCCAAACAATGTCAGATACCACCGAACAGTACATTTCAATGGACTATTTGGTAGTTAAAAATAAACGGACATACAAGCAATCCACAAACTTGTGCACACAAGCAATCAACAAACTAGCATGCCAAGTGTATGAGTTAAGGCGCATCACCTTTCAGAAGGCTTATGCTTTTTCACCTTTGTTTTTGTTTTGTTTTTCCATTGATATGGGGACAGATAAACACTCAGCAACTTGCAAAATGCATTTATAGATGGAGCATAAAATCCTAAATAGGGGATCTTTATTTAAGAGACAATGCATAGCTACATAATTAAGATTAGTTTATTATTTTTTCAGGTAAATTTTATTTTGTATTGCCCAAGAACATACAACTTGGAAATGCATTTTCTCTGCTCCTTATAAAGATATTCTTCCAAGGCTTCAGTTCTTGAAGCTTAAAGCCAGTTTTCATTAAAGCAACCAGCTGCCTCTTTGTGTGGAGTGGTCCTTCCTTAAAACTGTAGCTCTGAGGTTGGAGCCTCAGTTTTGACATTCTGTAGACTCTGAGCAAAGGCGTTCCATTCAGATGTGGGGAGAAGTCTCCATCAAGCAGCTGCTGGGGCGAGGAGGAGGAGGAGGAGGAGGAGGAGGAGGAGGAGGAGGAGGAGGGTGGGTGATCCCATCCCAAGGTGGATGTACCTTTTTAAAAAATGATCACTTTTACATAATTTTAAATCAATTACCACTTCTACTCTTCCAATGGCCACCTTAAAAAAATTCCTTTTGTTTTCTGTTGTTACCTGATTTCTACTTTACTGAGACTGCATAATGAAGCAAAATTTAAATCTACCAAATGAAGGCCATCTCTCCTGTTTTAGTAATTGTGTGTTTTCAGTTCAGTTTACGAAAATAGTTAGGTACACACACCTTCGGTCAACTCCTAGCATAAAGAAATCCATAAACAGCATTTTATGTACGGCATGAGAGTATTTACTAGCTAACAAGCTAGAGTTCTAGTTACGGAGCATTGGACTGCTCTCCTAAATGCTACTAAGGTGACAATTTGGGGATGCTTGAATCAAGACGCTGTTTGCCGCTTTCCAAACCCTGGCACAGTTTCTCAATGAGCAGGAATTGAGGGGTGGGGTGTGTGTTTGTGTGTGTGTGTGTGTGTGTGTGTGGTTTTTAACGTTGTGTATTCAGGTTGTTTTCCCTCTACCTAGTGCATTATAACCTCAGGAAGCTCACAGCACTTCAGACCTTTGCAACCACAGTACCGCTCAATAACGCCCTTCCAGAAGATCTGAGAGAATCTGAGGTGCAGCCTAAGACAAGATCTCTCCATTGTGGCACAGCCAACTCCTGCTGTAGGGTCTCTGGGGGGTTGGGCAGTCTTCGCCCCAGGAGTGAGGCCAGCACCAAGTGCTTGCTCAGCCATTGTCCTACCAAGTGCTCTGGAGGAGCTGTGTTGGAGAGAAGCAGATACCAAGGCACCTTGTCAGTTCAAAGCATGTTAAGGTTGTTTGAAATCCTCTCCACGTCATCGTAAGCAGCCACAGCTGCTTTGAACAGTGAAAAAGAACAAGCTGAATCAAAAGCCAAAGGAGTCTACCCAAGACACCTTCAACGCATTGTGTTTCAGGAGAAGACTGCCAGGCAAACAAGGCGGTCTCTTCCCTGACTTGGTCAGTAATAAGAACAGTGTCAGTGACCGTGAGACCAGAGAGAGCTCTCCCACCCCCAATCTGGAGCTAAAACCTTGGAGAGCCAAGGTTTCTGGAATCCCGGAGCTGCTACAAGTCGTGGCTGCGCGCGGGGCGTGGGGATAGGGGAGGACTCCCAGATGCTCCGAACCCCGCTTTCGAGCCAACCAGGCCCCCAGCGACCGGCAGAGGCAGTCTTTGCTCATTGAGGGGTGGAGAGGGGCGGTGCTGCAAGTGGAGCTCCGTTCCCCGCCCGGCCCTCCCCTCCACTGGCCCTGCACCCCTGCACTGGAGGCGGAGTGCGTGTGTGTGTGTGTGTGTGTGTGTGTGTGTGTGTGTGTGTGTGAAGACGGAGACTGAGGCCCCTTGGCGGGACACCATTCAGTATACTCTGGGGATTCAATGAGAATTCTAACCTGTGTACAACCTCCCACCCCTAACTAGACCAGTTGGGGAGCCACTTCGAGCTAGTCCATTCGCACGCCTGCAAATGAGGCGGGGCTGGGGGGTGGAGAGCAGTTCTGGGACGTCAAAATAGGGAGGATCTGCTGGCACTAACCGACAGTGGAGTCCCTTCACAATAAGTTTTGATGTTCACGTGCTGCCTCCTCACCACCCCCATCGGGCACATGCACTTCATGTCCTATGCCCAGGGTACCCTTGAGGGAGGTAGTTCTTAACCTGGGTAGCCACAAACCCATCGGAAATAAATCTGGAAACTTAATTATTCCCTTGAGAGTAACATCCTACAGGCTGCTAAGAATCTTCTAAAAGTAACAACCAAAAAAAAAAAAAAAAGTGAAAGTAAATAGGAACGGGAGGTCACCTCTCTTTACCGGGGGAGAAGGGAGACGTCCCCCACACACTGCCTTAAATCCTTTCAAGCAGCTGAATTCTTCCGCGAGTTAGAGGTTTGAACTCCTGGGGAAGCAAGAAAGCAACGCCGGGAGGGCTGGAGAGGAAGACTGCTGGGGAGAGGCCTGTACATTTCTCAACCCGGCAATATCCTACTGGGAGCCGAGGACGCACCCCCAAAAGACCGGAGGAAGTTGCCTCTCCCACCGTCCCCGGCCGAGGGCGCAAACTAAAAATCACCCTCGCCAGACGCGGAGTCTGCGCACTGAGAAGGGTGGAACTTTTCAAGGTTTCCTGGCCCGACAAAGTTACTAAATTTCTAGCAGCCCCTAAATGCGCCGCCTAAGTGGCTGAGCGTTCGCGATGGGACTCTCAGCCGCGTGGATCGTAGCCGAGCCGGTGTGCGCGTGCAGGTAGAGGTCGGTCCTGCTGGTTCCGGGTGGGCTCGCCCCTCCCCTGGCCGTTTCTGTCCCCTCCACACACGTTCATAAACACAGAACACGTGGAGATTCGCAGCCAAGGCTCCTCGCCCCGGCGGGTGCTCAGCCGCAGTGATTTATAAACAATTCAGCCACTCCCGGAAGAGCACCGCATCTCGTTAGTCGTGATGAATTTTTCTGGCCCGCTCCATTCTGCTGTCTAGATTAAGATGCTCCAAGGCCCTAAAATGCTCCCTCTGAGAGTCAATTTGGTCTAAAGCGCCAGCCCGAGCTCTACCCGGCTCTGAGCCAGGGCGAAGAAGTGGGGAGGCCATTTGTAAGCCCAGAGTCTTTTTCCTTTGCCCGCATTAACTTTTGATTCGCTGTGCTGTGCCTGCGTGCGACCCACTCGCTGCTGTGCTCGCTGGTCTCGCCGCCCAGGCTGGAGTTTGAGCTTAGATCTCTGCTAACCAGCTCACCAGCGTGGATGCTGGCAACAGTCATCCAGCTCCTTGGGAATTGGAGACATGATGTTCCGTCTCCGGGCAGATCCCCGCCCCGGGTACATTGGCCCTGGGTCTTGCTGGAGAGTTTACCTATAAAAGCAGAGCTGAAGACTAAGCACCAACTCCCGCCGCTGTCCCCCGCTCTAGTTGCTGCTTAGAAAGGACTCCCTAGCACCAGCCCGCCCGCCGATCTTCCTCCTTTTTGCCCGGATTAACGCGAAAGTTGCACAGACAGGCCTGGGGCGGGATGAAAACGCGCAGATCCAGCTGCGCGGCTTTCCAGAGCAGCGCTCGGCGGCTGAACCAGTCCGAGGCCACTTGCTCGCTCTTCCTGCAGCCTCGCACAAGGCGAAGGTCTGCCTACAAAAGCTTCAGGCTTTCTGATCCAAAAACCTTTGTGCGCACCCGAGTGTCGGTGTGACACAGGTTTCCAGAGTTTTGTTTTCAGTTCAGAGTCCTGAGCTGTTAGAGTGGGAAACTCTGTGCTACTAGAGTTGCTCAAAAGCCAGGGCGTAGGTTGAGTCTGCCTTTCCCAGAGTCTTTTGAGAAAGATTAAGATAAAATTGGATCTGGAACTTAAGGGATCTTTGTTACTGGGGTGAAGGGGAAGGCAAGGATCTTTATTTGACGACAAAAGTATCCACACGGGACACCTGTGCGCTGTAATTCTAAGTATAGTGGAAAAGAAGGCTTCCATGGGCAATATTAGTCTAGCTTTGGCTCTCGTTCTAGGCTTAAATGACGTTGGTCCGCGCGCGCGCGAGGAGCGTGTGTGTGTGTGTGTGTGTGTGTGTGTGTGTGTGTTCCTAGGAGAATGGAAATCGTACTCCTGCTGACTCGGTAAGACCCAGTCTTTCTCTTCCACCTTCCACAAGCCCCCACCCACCACCACCAAGACCTATTGGGAAGAGAAAGTAGACTCCCTCCCATACAAGTCTTCCAAGCCGCTGTAGTCCACCAGACCGCCCCGCTGCCCCGCTTCTCAGCCTAGGAGACAGATGGGGGGCGGGGCCCATCCTAGTCGGGCGGGTACAGAAGAGGAGAGGGGGGTGAGAACTAAGAGAATCTGGATCGCTGTGCTGGGGGTGGGGGTACCAAAGGAAGGACTGAGAAGACTGGGCGCTCGAGGGAAGACAAGGGGGGTGCAGTTCTGCACCAATCGGTGGCTCCGGTCTGGGAGGTTGCTAGCGGTATCCACGTAAATCAAAGGGCGCAGAGCCAATGGGAGGGGGTGGAGGGGGCGGGGCCCAGGCGCGTGCCGCTGCGAGCGGGCTCTGCCAAGAGAGCGGGAGAGAGCTTGAGAGCGCGGGGAGAGGGGGGAGCGCCCAGCGAGTCAGAGAGTGAGCGAGAGCGAGAGGAGGGAGAGGAGGAGAAAGCGCGAGCCCCCCCCCCCCCCCGGCAGCGCGGTAGCAGCAGTAATAGCAGGAGCAGCAACAGAAGGCGTCGGAGCAGGCGTCGGAGCTGCCCGCTAGGGGAGAGAGAGAGAGAGAGAGACAGAGAGACTGAGAGAGAGTAGGAGAAGCGGGCAAGCGAGGAGAGAGAGAGAGCCTAAGGCAGAAAAGTAACTGTCAAATGCGCGGCTCCTTTAACCAGAGCGCCCAGTCCGGCTCCGAGAGTCATGGCGACCGCAGCGTCTAACCACTACAGCCTGCTCACCTCCAGCGCCTCCATCGTGCACGCCGAGCCGCCTGGCGGCATGCAGCAGGGCGCAGGGGGCTACCGTGAGGCGCAGAGCCTGGTGCAGGGCGACTACGGCGCGCTGCAGAGCAACGGGCACCCGCTCAGCCACGCTCACCAGTGGATCACCGCGCTGTCCCACGGCGGCGGCGGCGGGGGCGGCGGCGGCGGTGGAGGAGGCGGGGGAGGCGGCGGGGGAGGCGGCGACGGCTCCCCGTGGTCCACCAGCCCCCTAGGCCAGCCGGACATCAAGCCCTCGGTGGTGGTACAGCAGGGTGGCCGAGGCGACGAGCTGCACGGGCCAGGAGCGCTGCAGCAGCAGCACCAACAGCAACAGCAGCAGCAGCAACAGCAACAGCAGCAGCAACAGCAACAGCAGCAGCAGCAACAACAGCGACCGCCACATCTGGTGCACCACGCTGCCAACCACCATCCCGGGCCCGGGGCATGGCGGAGTGCGGCGGCCGCAGCTCACCTCCCTCCCTCCATGGGAGCTTCCAACGGCGGTTTGCTCTATTCGCAGCCCAGCTTCACGGTGAACGGCATGCTGGGCGCAGGAGGGCAGCCGGCTGGGCTGCACCACCACGGCCTGAGGGACGCCCACGATGAGCCACATCATGCAGACCATCACCCGCATCCTCACTCTCATCCGCACCAGCAACCGCCCCCGCCACCTCCCCCACAAGGCCCACCGGGCCACCCAGGCGCGCACCACGACCCGCACTCGGATGAGGACACGCCGACCTCAGACGACCTGGAGCAGTTCGCCAAGCAATTCAAGCAGAGGAGGATCAAACTAGGATTTACTCAAGCAGACGTGGGGCTGGCGCTTGGCACCCTGTACGGCAACGTGTTCTCGCAGACCACCATCTGCAGGTTTGAGGCCCTGCAGCTGAGCTTCAAGAACATGTGCAAGCTGAAGCCTTTGTTGAACAAGTGGTTGGAAGAGGCAGACTCGTCCTCGGGCAGCCCCACCAGCATAGACAAGATCGCAGCGCAAGGGCGCAAACGGAAAAAGCGGACCTCCATCGAGGTGAGCGTCAAGGGGGCTCTGGAGAGCCATTTCCTCAAATGCCCTAAGCCCTCGGCCCAGGAGATCACCTCCCTCGCGGACAGCTTACAGCTGGAGAAGGAGGTGGTGAGAGTTTGGTTTTGTAACAGGAGACAGAAAGAGAAAAGGATGACCCCTCCCGGAGGGACTCTGCCGGGCGCCGAGGATGTGTATGGGGGGAGTAGGGACACGCCACCACACCACGGGGTGCAGACGCCCGTCCAGTGAACTCAAGCGGGGGAGGGGCAGAGCTTGAGGCTCCCCTCCCCTTTGGTCCACAGTCTTTCCTGGGACCTCTGTTCTCCCTCTAACTTCTGATTGTTTTCTTTTGCTTTTCCTTTTTCTTATTTTTTAATTATTATTTTCCCAGTCCCTTAAAAAAAAGAAGAAAAAATAGAGAAAATAAGGAGAAAGGAAAGTAAAACACTGGACTATCCTATAACAGGTAGCAGGTGTAATAATGGGTTTTGACCTTTGCAGGCGAGTACCCAGGCAATGAAGTAGAATGTCTCCTAATGCGAATGAAGTGTGTGTGTGTGTGTGTGTGTGTGTGTGTGTGTGTGTGTGTGTAAGAGAGAGAGAGAGAGAGAGAGAGAGAGAGAGAGAGAGAGAGAGAGAGAGAGAAAGTCCTGGTAAAACTAAATAAATTACCAAAAAGAAAAAAAAACCACCAAACCGTACAAAACATAAAACTGCAGCTTCCCAATGCTCAAAGTTAACACGTGCTGCTGTGTTTATTTAATATGGATCCCCATCAGGAAAGAGGGAAAATACACTTTTAAAAATATAGGCAAAATTTAACCACACGAATTTGCACTGCAAGAAAATTGAAGTTTACATTAACAAGTTCAACATTTTTTTTTCTCTTCATACCCACTGTTAATTTTGAAGGTGTCCTTTGGGTTCTGTTTTGTTTTGCCTTGTCCAGTGGAGAGGACAGAAGCTAGCTCTTGGCTACCCTCCATTCCCAGTGTTCTGATGCCCCTTGTTCTTATTGCTTGTGAACTTTGTTTTCTTCAAATCCCCCAGACCTGGTGTAACACTTATTGGCTCTTTTCACCAAAGCGAAATGATTGGCTTCATACAAAATAAATAAATGCTTGCATTCAGGAAATGTGCATGGTTTGCCCGCTTTATGCAAGGCAGGGATACTGCTGGAAATATAAATGTAAGTGTTGAGCATTGGTTTTTGTAAACCACAAAGTAAACTTTATCTTCAGGCAGCATTTCTGGGTAGGAGAGAAAAAGAAAAATCGATAGTGAGTGATCAGTCACTTCATTTTTTCAGGCAGAGCTGTTTTGAAAGAACTAAAAAAAAAAAGTGAGGTTAAATATATTGCTAGAGTTGTCCAACAGACAGAAACTCTGAGAACTTGGAAACACACTGTTTAGTTCTCTGCCTTTGGGTTTAATAACTTAATTATAAGAGATTAGTTGTGATGGCAGCAGTGGTTAAACTTTGTTCCTCTACTAGGTCTTGTATTTTTTTTTAACTTAAAGAAAATAACCCAGAAACTTGAGATCATATGCATAGACTGTGTTTTTTAACACACAAATGCATATACTATACATCAATATAAATGGGGTAGACAGGTTTTGTCTCCAACAGTACAATTGTTTATGAAGTCATATTTTGCATTTTACACCATCTTCCCCCATGAGTTATTACAGAAAAATATCAGTTCAGATTGCACAAAGTTCTTCCCCCCTCTTTCATTAAAAAAGACAAATGAAGGGGAAAGAGACATTTTTAATATTTCCTTTCTCCCCTTTGTTAATAATTTTTCAGTTCATTTTTTACCTTGTCTAAATGGGAAATGGTTTACTCCCAACACAATAGAATATTCTGGAAGGTGTAGGTAAGAAAACAAAAACAGAAAAGGCTATGGCTATATTGAAATTAACACTATTAAAACTGTGATCAGTTTAAAAAATTAGTTATCAGCACAAAAGGGCGTTAAAAGGGAAAAAACACTTTTTTATTAACCTTCAATGTTTGGGGTTTTATTTCTTTGTTAGGTATCAGATAAATGTTATTTTAAAAAATTAAATTCTCACTACTATAAAATTATGGTTCAGCATCAGATTAGCACTGCACTCCGTAGTTAAGGTTTTAGGAAAAATGCTTTATCTAGTATTGTCTTTTCAAACACCTGCAATTGTTTCATTTTCAATGTTTTTACAAGATGAATGGTGACTTAAAAATGGGCATATTTATTTGCCTGTATTTCATTTCCCCCAATGAATGTCACAGGAGATGCCATAGAGCTATTTCAGGTTATATCACACTGCTTGTTCCTGATGTGGCCTTCAGTGAAGCAATCCAGAGGAGGGCAAATAGCCAATGGTAAAAGGAGGAAATGAATTTGCAGATACTTATTACCAAGTAGGTAAGGTCAGAAGCTGGGGTTCCGGGGATGTGCCTACATCTTCTCTTGCTCTCTTAGGCTTACAAAAATGAAAGTTACCACTGAACCTTACCATATGTATATATGTTTAATATCTGTCTTTTGAAATGCAGAAATAGTTTAAATGTTTCTTTGTCTATTTTTCTTTTTTTTTTAATGCTACCCAGGGAAATATTTTCATATCGTTTTACGTGGCCTGCCTCAATGTATATTTATTTCTTTGGAGCAAAAAGGTTCTGAAAACTGGTTTTCTGTAGCTTTAAATGAGTAGGTAGCAAAAACTATATGGGATGTCATTTTTTGTTCAGTTTCTTTTAAAAAATGCTTTGTTTTGATACATTTGGTTGTGCTTGTGGGGAAAATAAAAGCGCAGAGATCCTTATATATTTATGTTAAAGTAATATTTTATTATTACATAAAACAGAAATGCACAATACCTTCATAGTTTGTTCTAATTATTGAAATATCTTTATTTTATTTTTAAAGATAGTGCCAACTTCTAAGAGGTGAGGAAGCCCTACCTAGACCTTATACTGACTGAGCTGAGTTGTGTATAAAATACTTCCCTTCCTTTATACTTCATAAAGTTTTGGAATAAATTTTATGCAGATATTGCCAGCTTTCATGTTTATAACTTCCAAAGGCATTTTCTTGTTTTGTTTTCTTTTTTTTTTTAAATGAAAACTGTTCAGACTTTTCTTTGCAGAAACTATCATGGGGCCCAAATATTTTCTTCACCGCCTTGTAGAACTGAATCAAAGCAGTCATTGTATTTCAGCTTCAATTTGTTTGCCATTTCCTGAACAAACGGAAAAAACATACTTGCCTTGTAAATATATGCCGAGGTCCCTACGCCTTCCCTCTAGGTTAGCTGCACCTTTGCCAATGGATTGTTAAGAAAGGCATCAGTGGAACTAGATGGACCTTAGCCTCTGCCACATGTCCTTAGATAATCTGGGACCTTCAGAAAAGTGAGGCTTACACAGAAATTATTATTCATAATTAACAAATATCTTTCAACAACAAAAATCTTTACAGTATGCCATACATATATTTACCAACTGATTAAAAGTAGATACCATGCATCATTCCTCTTAGGTTTACAGGGAAATATACTTTTTACAAAGGTTTTTACAACAGTGTATCTCTCTCATCACTCAAACAAACAAACAACAAGCTCTACATTAAAAGAGGAGGAAAAGAATGTATTGGAGAGATTCAAGCCATGGTGCTAATAGTTTGTTCCAGAAGGTTTTAGATAGAGCACCACACTTAAAAAACAACAACAAGCAAACAAAAAGATACCTTTTAATGTTAGTGAAGTGTTAAATCAGTGTTGGATTGGTTTATATATTTGTTGGTGTATTTAAAGTCCTCCTTTGAACACTGACTTAAAATATAAATGTCCATTTAGAAAAGTAGTTTCTGGGCTTATTACATCTGATCATCTTTTCTAATTCCTAGTCAATATAACATGGGTCCCAAACAGATTCTGCCAAATGATCTTATCAATAGTCTGAACAAGAAGTGACAGAAAGAAGAAGTGTTTTGTGACCACAGACATGCTGATGGGTAAAATGTTTAAGCTAGGTATAGATTTGAGTTCTGGGTCAATATCCCTCCTCTGAAGGAGGAAAGCGAGCTGCATCTGCCCTCTGCAGGGCGTTTCAGTGGACCTTGAGAAGGCATTTTCCTCCTTAGCCACAGGCGCTGTGAACAGACCTAGAAACATCATATATTAAACAGATACACTATGTTCCTGACTCATGCTGGCCATTTGGGTCCTAAAGCTTCTCTGGTAGCTTCTATGCCAGTCTTAGAATGTATTCCCTCTACTTAAAAAAAAATGACTGCAGAGCCACTTATACAAATCTGTGGGGCAATTGTTAAGATACTGACAAGCCATCTTTATCCTAAAGACAAAAATGCAGTGTTTGTGTTTGCTGAAAACATGCCATATTTTAGATTTATGATATAAATATATATATATATATATACTGGGGAAAAATGACCATATATGAAAGAGTATGTGAAGGTCATAAAGATGGAATGGCCACAACTAATATTGTGCTTGATGGTTTTTTTTTAAATTCTCAGTTCCCCTCAAGAAATGTCCTTTATATTTGAGATAGTAGCAGTAAAACCACCCTCCTCATCCCTCTCCCCTCCTGCTCCTACAGAGAAGGCTACACACTGTCAAAATTTTCTAGTGAAGTGGTTTTGATGGAGGCTTTCATCTCCCTATCTTATTCCTTCAAAAATAACCAATAAAACAATACAACAGCAAAGGTGGGTGGCTCTCGCCTGTGTTGGTCCCAGCCAAGCCTCTCCACTGGCCCTTTAGTTTCCTTCCTTATGGAAGCTTGGCTAGTGCTGGGGAGCATGATGAAATTATCATCTTATTACTCCTCTCTTTGGTTTGTCTTTGTTGATTTTCAATCAATTCATGGAACTGTGCTCTAGATTCTATTGAATTCCTATACAAATTTTAAAATGGTACAGAGAATGGAGTGTGTAGGGGAGGGAGGAGAAGGTTGGTTCAGTGAGGATTTCTTTGGTTCTCCTTGTATATTTCAGTGGTAAAGCAAAAGAATGATGTTTATTTCAAAAGAAAGGGGGGCCTACGTCAGGAAGTACTGCGAAACTTGACAATGTGACCATTTAGTTGAGTTTTAGATAAATATTTTCTCTTTTGGAAAAGTTTACTTTTTAAAATGATACATAGTCTCTGAATGGGGTTCCAATGGTAGCGACAACAGAGCACCTAGGCTTCTCATAGCTATTTCCACAACTTGATTCTGGGTAGGAAAAAAACAAAACAAAACAAACAGAAAACAAAACAACAAAAAAAGTGGCAGGGGTCTCACAGATTCATGGAATCAATTGGGCCACATTCCTAGAACTTGGGCCAATGTTTTGTCAATGTCCATTTATTTAGAGACAAGTACTGGAGTAAAGGAAATGGCTTTCAGCTGCTTCAAGGCTCTGCTTCGGTGTGGAGATAAGCAATCAGAAGATGTTCACATTGTTCTAGCATTTTGTGGGGGAGGGGGAAAATACCGTTTACCCCCTTCTCTTAAAAACTTAATCAACTTTATTACTAGTACCTTGGCTGGACCTTAATGACACCGCTGCTTGGCTGAGCTGTTAGAGGTTATTAGAAACAATATCATATTCCATCGAAACAGTCTAGTCTCTTATTGTTCCTAGGATTCTGGTTGTTGGTAACATTAAGATGTATTTCTTTTTTCTAAAAACAAACAAAAATGTCTGCTATGTTATTTAATACACCAGTAAAAGTGCATCTATATCTTAAAGTCCATTCTTTTTGAGTTTTTATAGCTCTTTGTCTGGAATGGGGAGGGGCAGGGGAGCTTCCATAAGTGGTTTGTGCCTACAGAGCTCAGGCTCTTGAAGGGACTGTAGTTGGCTACATATATCTCCCCCGCTTAAGAATTGTGAGTTGTCATGGGGAGGTGAGTAGGGAGTAAAGGCTCCTAGAAAAAAAATTAAAGAGTTCTCAAGGATTTTTGGAAAGACAAGGAGTGTTAGGGCCCTTTCTGTGAAAGCTGGAGGGGAATTTGATTGTTATGAATTGACTCTCCGTGTGCCATATGCGTCAGTAAACAACTTCGTTGGAAAGTGAATTGAAACTTGAGATCTTAAAAATTGGAGTCATAAGTTTTCCCTCCCCACCAGCGTTTCTTCCGCTTTTGTTGTTTAAAAAGAAAGGAGAAAAAAAATTTTTAAGCTCAACTGACCAAAATACAAGGCCACAGAATTTGGCAGCACAGGGGGAAAGAGAAAGTTACTTGTACATCTGGGACACAAATTAACCACTGTAAACCTCCGGCTTTAAGGCTCAGTCAAATCCATATGAAAAGTGTGGACGCTCCTTCCCTCCTCCTGATAAGAAATCTCATTCTGTCAGAGGAATTTTTATGTGATCTTTTATGTTCCACAGCATGTGATTCTGAAGAGAATTATTTGACATTAATAACTTTTGTTGATGTTGTTTCCCCTAACAAATATTCCTTCAAAGTTCTTACAGCTTTCCGGGGCAAAGCCGGGGGCGGGGGGGGGGGGGGAAGGTGCGGCCTGTCAGGCTTCTACTGTGACTCAGTGGCAGCCTTTGATACCTCTCAACTTAGGGGACCTTGGCAACTGGCCGAAGGAAGAGATGTGAGGGGAGCTGGTCATTCCCCGTACTCACAGGCCTGGCTGATGCAGCAAATCTGGAATTTTTCTAGTCTCCAAGGGCAGTGAAGCCCTGACCTCCATGGGTGGATCCCAAGCCTCTCTTCTCATGGGAGGTCCGTAGGGATGGGCGCTATCTGGACGACTGACGGATCAGCCTGCCGGAGCCTGAGGCTAGGGGTGCTGCTTTGAGTCCTGATGTACCGGGTGTAAAGGCTGGCTCGGGTGGGCAGAGAAATGCAGGCGACTGAATAAGCAGATACTCTCAACAGGCAGCTTGTGACCAGGACAGAGGTGTCTGGACTACAGAGGTCACTGGAAATTTAGAGCGAAAAGGGAATCCCCCCAACTTTCTGCCTGCCATCCTTTCACCCTGGACTGGACAAAATCTCAGGACACCTGCTCGGGGGAAGCAATTGTGAGAGATGGTGGCCCAAAGTAAAATAAGTCGGTCTCAATGGCAGGCAACAGGCAACGTGCAGGCAGGACAAACGGCTCCCTGGGAAGTCACTGGGCTGTGTGGAGGTTGTACATTGAAGGAGAGCCACCGAAAGTTGAGGGGAGGGGGGAAGTTCTAAAGGTGTTCTCCTCCTGCTTTTACTGAACAAACTTTTGATAGTTTCTGGTCTCAGCGGTCAGCCTCCAGTGGAGAGGAAGGAACTTTGTCTTCTAAGCGCTAAAGCAAGGAAGAAAAGGGTTCTCTAACTCCCCAAACCCGGCACTCACTTGTGAGCCTAAAGTCCAAAGTCAGTTCCTCGGAATACGGGAAAGAACCCCTGGGTACCCTGTGCGTACCATTCAGAGGGGAGCCTCCACAAGTTCCCCAAGATTGGAGGCCTGACTTCAGTCTCCTGGGCCAGCCATTCCCTCTTAGGCTGGGTAGATGTTTTCCAATCCATAGCTTTCCCCAACCTCCAGAGAGCCTTTACACGTGGGAAGAAATGCCTCACAGAAGGGAGTTGGGGGTTCTTTCGCCTCTAGGAGGGGAGGCTGCTTGGGGCGAGCGGGGCACTGGGGGTGGATGGAGGCGGGGCGGGCTGGAGTACTATGGGTACCTAAAGCTGCCCGACTATAGAGGCGGGGGCTGGCTGACGGTAGTGGGAAGGCGACCAACCACACTTAGCAGGGATTCTGGCAGAGAGCTGGTCTGTGCCTGAGCGGGGCCTGGCTAGGCCCCCGGTGCAGGAGCTTACTGGAGATCCAGCCGCGTCTGCCTGTGGTCACTCCCCAGGCCCTGCGGCTAGCCGGGGCAAGGTCGCACACAAACAGGGATGCTTCTATTTACTCGCCTCTGCCTGTGGATCTCTAAGACATTCAGCAGGCACAATCATTAAACTAATTTGTATTTGATTGTTTGGGCGGACGGAGGGTAGTTTTATTGCGCTAAGCATTCAAGCAGGCACGCATCGCTGATTACCAGTATACATTAAATAAAGTTGTTTGTACACATTGTCTTACCACATATAGGCAGAGGCTTATTATTCTAATTACTCTAATTAGTGCATTGAAATGTTTTCTACTTGATTTGAGGAGACAGTGATTACTTCTATTACTTCTTTTAACTCGTATTTTATGGAAAACTATTGATGCATGCTCAAATTTCTTTATTTGCCCCTCGAATATAAGGCTGACCCAAACTCAGTGAACTGCACCGCCCTTATGGGGCCCCAACTTTGATGTGGGCCTCGGCTTGGAAGAGGCGTCTCCTATTTGTTGGTTTCCTCCTACAACAGCAGTGTTCTCCCAACGCCAAGCCCAGTCCCCTATCCCAGATGCGCACCCGGCCTCGGACCGAGTAGGACTGGCGGCGGATCCTAAACCTTCTTTGGATGCAGCGTCTCTGACCTGCTGCCGCTCTATTTTCCTAGGCGCGATTACTTTTAAAAGACTCCCTTAAGCATATTTTCTGTGAATCTGCTTCTGTAGCCTTAACGTTACTATTAATTGATAAGATCAGCTCATCAAACATACGATTTCGATAGGGTGTTGTAATTAAAACCTTAATCCTGTTTGAGACTTTTTTTTCCTTTTTAAATTCCTTTTTCTTAGGGAAGGGGTACAAAGTTCACTATAAAAAAGTATTATAACAGGGAGATTAATTCGTTATCTAAATAACAATCTTTGGTATTGATCCAATGCACTTTTCGCCACCTTTTGTGTTATTTCGGTAAGCCCTTAAAAAGGAGAATCTGACAAAGCAAAAGATTTGGACCGAACTCGAAAGGCTACGATCTTCTTGGGAGAGCGAGGAGTCTGAGGCTCTCTACTCTCGTCACAGCAGGGGATTGGGGGGGGGGAGCAGCCCAAGTCTGTCCGGGCTGCCCTGACAGTGCCACTGGGGCAAAGAAGTGCTGATGCCCGCGGATGCTCCTCAGAGTCCTCTCCCTGGCAGAAGGAGATCTGCTTGGTCTCTAGGTAAATACGCCACTGGTTCTGATTTTACTTTTAATATTTAAACTCGGATTATCGTGTCTCTAAATGCGCGTTCCTAACCTTTGAGAGTGGCTGAGATGTAATAAACACTGGCGCAGCAGCTCAGCTTCTGCTGGCCGAGGCTGGCGCCTCCCGCTCCGCCCGCCCTTGGACCCCAATCCCCCCACCCTCTATCCCCCGCCCTCTGTCCCCCTCCCCCGACAGCGACGGCCGCGCGGGAATGAAATCAGCGCCTCCCGGCAGCTGACGGCTGAGCATCCAGGGCTCTTGCAGGCGGGGGAGGCCGCCCTTTATCCCAGCTGAAGAGTCCTCGGGGGCTGCAGGAGGAGACGCGCAACCCCGCGGCGTCCCTGAGGAGGAGAGGGAGCCCGGCTTCGTGGAAGCAGCGACCCCAGACATGGGAGAAGGCATCGAGAAGCGTGGGGGACTGCAGAACGCACAAGGTCTCTAGTCTAGAAGGGGGTAGGGTGGGAGTAGGAAGGGAAGACCCTGCCCAAATCTAAGCCTCCTTTAAAAGACGTCAAGGGCCTCTGTTTGAGAAGCAGAAGAATTTCTGAGGCAAAGAGGCCCATTTGTGCTCCCAAGACAGCTCACAGGAGATTTTCCTCAGTTGTAAAAGTTTACCCCTCTAACACCCTCCTTCTGTCTCTCTAACAAAGTCTTCTTCCCCCACGTACAGACTTGTTATGTAACAAAGTCTCCCAGGCTAGTTTAACAGAATAAAGGACACTCTAGGCCCCCCTCCCCCCAGTACATCTGCTCTCACCCCAAGATTGCGGGCTTTAGCCGAATGGAACTTTGGCGCCCCAAAGTGGCATCAACTTGCAACTACTCTTGATTTTACAATCTGATCAGTTCAAACGTTGAGTTTCCCCGGATTGGAATGTGC